ACTTTGGGCCAATGACTAGGAGATGGTGAGTTCTAGTTCTACCCTAGCATGAAGGCCCTCAGGGTGTCTTTGACCAATCACCAGGAGCCTGTGAGTTCTAGTCCCACCTTAGGCATGAAAGCCAGGTGGGGGACATTGGGCCAATGACTAGGAGATGGTGAGTTCTAGTTCTACCCTAGGCAAGAAGGCCCTCAGGGTGTCTTTGACCAATCACCAGGAGAGAGAGTGAGTTCTAGTCCCTCTTTAGGCCTGAAACCAGGCTGGGCAAACTTCTTCACACTTTCTCTCAGCCCAACCCATCTCACAGGGTTGTTATTGTGGAGGAATAAAATAAGAGGAATTATTATCCCTGCCTTTAAGGTACTTATAAAAAAAATAATACAGACGAAATAAAAATATCATAAATAAATAAAGGCTTCAGGAAATTCCTCGGATACCTTTTCGCCTCGGATACTGGAGACTCTCCAGTGAGAACAAACCCTGCCTGCTCGTGAAGAACAAACTCTCGGGATTTAACAAATAACTCTGATTTTAAACTGCCCAAGCGATCTCATAATTTCCTTGCTTGGACTCCGTGGATCAAAGGGCGATGAACGCCCTTCTTTTTTGTGTGTGTGTCAGTTGTGCAGGAGGGGATATTACTGTGGGCCTCAGCTGGCACCCCCAGATCTTAAACGGCTTCGAAATAAAACTGCATGAAAGAGGCTAAATCCTTTCTAATCCTGACCTTTCCGTCAAGCCCCTTTTTAAAAATAACAATGCGGTGAAATGTTAATTCATCCGCAAGAATTGCTGTTTTAAAGGGCAGCGGGAAAACAAAACAACTGTTGCAAATAAGCCAGAGGAGAGAGACTGACCAAGGAAATGAAGACCTACCGAAGCTGCAGGAATCATTTGAGAATAAATTATTTGGGAATGGGTGTAATTCTCCCCTCCGGATGCCGCTACAAGGCCTTGCATGCCAAAACAACTACAGGTAGTCCTCGACCTATAGCAGTTCACTTAATGACCCTTCAGAGTTACAATGGCACTGAAAAAGGACTTACAACCATGCTTCACACTTACGGCCTTTGCAACCTCCCCCCCTGGTCACGTGATTTACATCCAGAGGCTCACTTTTATGACGGTTGCAGCGCCCCGGAATCACGCGATCCCCTTTTGCAACAGGGGAAGCCAGATTCACTTAACGACCATGTGACTTAATTTAACTGCAGTGGGTTCACTTAACAAATGAGGTTAGGAAAGTCCAGAAACGGAGCACGCTTGCTTTAACAAATGCCTCACTTAGCAACGTTGGCCTCCTATCTGGTCATACGTGGAGGACTACCTGTAGACACAAAGATAGTTTTTGTGATGACGTGGGACATGACACAAAAATAACAAAGTCACCAAAGTAGAATAAATTCTCTTTAATGCCTCCAACTTGGCCCCCAATGTCCAATTATCCTCGGCTGGATAACAAACCCTTCAAAAAACAGTCTACGAAGGGCAGAAATGCAGTCCGAACCCAAAGTAAAGATAATTAGAAATTTAAAAACTCAACACAAACTATACTGAAGTAATTAACACGGCAGGCCAGGATGATAAATTGCAGGCTTTCAAAGGATAACTTGCAGCAACCACAGTTGGGAGGACTGCCAAAACCCAGATAAGCCTCTACCAAGATAATGCACACTTTGCTTCCAGCAAGGAACGGTGTGCAAACGCCCCTCTTATATCCTGTTCTCCCAGCTGCAACCAATGAAAGGGATCAGGGCCGCCTTCTCTCTCCCAAGCCACCTTGCTCCCTTCTCCGTTCCTCCCTGCGTGCCCTAGGATGAAGAGGGGAGGGCCCTGGGTCTTCCTCTGAATGCCCAGTCGGGACTGTGCCCTTCCTCCGTTTCCTCCACAGCCATCGGAGCCACACTCCCACTCCCTGTCAGCTGCTCAATCTCCCCCTCAGAATCGGACTCCAACAAGAACGTGACAGTTTTTTTCCCCCTTGTGCCATCGCTCTGCTAAACACTTCATTCCCACAGGCCTGCCTTGCGCCTACATATATTCACCCATGTAGCAGGGCTATATTGCTATTATCCTTCTCATCTTTCCATCTTTCTTACTACTTTCTCCTATCAGTAGCTTTTGATTTATCCCTTGTTTGCAGCTTACGGTCTACCGTATCACTTGGCTGTTGGTATGCACACGGAGAGCTTCTGCACCAGGGACAAATCCCTTGTGTGTCCAATCACACTTGGCCAATAAAGAACATTCCAATTCCAATGTTAAATAGGAAGAACAGAGCCAAAACAGACAAAGAGAATGGGGTGATTCAGAGGCCGTTTTGGTATGCCACATATTTGCATCACAAATACATCCGGTATCACAACAGTTGACATTTAAAACATTACCTTCTCATGCCCAGCGCAATTCTGATACCTTAAAAGTCAGGCTTAGCCATTCTAGCTTTAAATCAGTATTTTTTCCTGTCCTTTAGAAACGTTCTTCAGAATAGTTCTTCAGATAAAACACGAACTGTTAGAATAAAATAGAATAAGAGAGTTGGAAGGGACCTTGGAGGTCTTCTAGTCCAACCCCCTGCTCAGGCAGGAAACCCTACACGTCAGACAAATGGTTGTCCAATCTCTTCTTTAAAACTTCCAGCGATAGAGCATTCACAACTTCTGGAGGCAAGTTGTTCCTCCGGCTAACTGTTCTCACAGTCAGGAAATTTCTCCTTAGTTCTAAGTTGCTTCTCTCCTGGATTAGTTTCCATCCATTGCTTCTTGTCCTGCCCTCAGGAGTTTTGGAGAAGAGCTTGACTGTTCAGAGTTTTACAGCATCAATTCAGCGCCAGAAAAATAAACACAGATGGCTGATGCTTCATTGAACGTCTTTATAAACATGTATATTATATATGTTTATAAATATATTAAAACATATTCTTTTTACAAACCAGTTGTAGATTTCTCCAACGTGGAGCAAACTCAAACAGAAGTAGACATGTTACAAGTGCACAGCTTCAGCAGTAACTTCAGCAGCTCAGAAACAGACCTCAGTTTCACTTTAGTTCAGCAAGCAAGCAAAGAGAAGCAGTTTCACTCCAATAGACAAACACAGAGCTTAACATAGCTGCAGAGTTGCAGAGCTTAATATAGAGCCACATTTAGACTACTTCTAGTTTCAGTTTCCAAACAGTTTTCATTGGCTGACTTAGTTGCTATGCCTATTCATTGGCTGACCTTGTTACCAAGCTCTGTTCCAGTTCATGAACAGACTCTGACATTGACCCCCCTCTTATCTGTGGCAGCCCCTCAAATACTATCATGTCACCCCTAATTCTTCTTTTCATTAGACTTGACATACCCAATTCCTGCAGCCGTTCTTCGTACGTTTCAGCCTCCAGTCCTCTTCGTTGCTCTTCTCTGCACTCTTTCTAGAGTCTCAACATCATTTTTTTTTAACATCATGGCGACCAAAACTGGGATGCAAGATTCCAAGGGTGGCCTTACCAAGACCTTATAAAGTGGCATTAACATTTCACGTGATCTTGATTCTATCCCTCTGTTAATGCAGTGTTGGCTTGTTTGGCGGCGGCTGCCCACGACTGGCTCATGTTTAAGTGATTGTCCGCTAAGACTTCAAGATCCTTCTTCACAGTTACTACTCTTGAGTCAAGTACCGTTTATGCCGCACCTGCATTTATTTAACCTTTTGGCTAGCACGTAACGTTCTGGTTTTTCTCGTCCCATTCCAGATGTCAACAGCTGGCTGCTTACCTTTGGTTTCCAGCTGCACAACGTTATCCCTGGCTATCCTAAACCTGACGTGAATGCTATGGAGCCATCCTACGAGCTCACCCGCACCCAGCTGAAAACCCAGGAATGGGACAATAGCAAGGTAACTAGTATGACTTTTCGGGCACCGCCCCCTCCCAGTTTCTTCGGTTTCCAAAAAGACCCACTTTTGAACGGTCGCTACTTTATCCCAGGGGAAACGTTCATCAGGAAGTGGAAAACATGTACGGATAGTCCTTGAATTAACAATCATTTGCTTTAACGGCCGTTCAAAGTTACAATGGCGCTGAAAAAAAAAGTGACTTAGGTGTCAACTCATAAAATATTTGTCTGGTCTTGTCAGAGTTGCCAACAGAAAGGGAAGTGGGGGAAAGGGGTTTTGAAAAAGCACTGCGGCAGCTTGCAAACCGAAAGCGCATTCCATCAATGTGTTCAAAGATAGTAACCAGGTGACTGAAGTTTCTGCCGTGCAAAATCCTAACTGGTGAGCACGATTGAATGACTCTGGGCTATGGAGGTGTCCCATTGGAGAATATGAATTAGGATACACCCAGAGGGGTGGAGGGAAAACCAGGGTCAAGGGTAGCAATGAGTGATGTGCCTCAGAGTCCGCTACACCCAGGCAGTGCTGGCATGTTAACTCCCAATAAATCCTTCGGAAGTTTTGGAAGTTTGTCTCGAGACTCATGATTTAATTCGGGGGGTAACTGCCGGAATCCTGACATTAGGGCTGTTTTTCACACTTCCAACCTTTGCAGCATCCCCATGGACACGTAATCCTAATTCAGGTGCTTGGTAACTGATTCATAGTTACGATGGTTGCAGTGTCCCAGAATTATGTGACCCCCTTTTGCGACCTTCTGACGAGCAAAGTCGACGGGAAATCCAAATCCACTCAGCAACTGTGTTACTAACGTAACAACTGTGATGATTCGCTTAACTGTGGCCAGAAAGGTCATAAAATGAGGCAAAACGCACCTTGCAACTTTCTTGCTTAGCAACAGAAACTTTGGGCTCCGTTATGGACCACCTGTAGTCTTTCTGATGTTCTACTACTCTTCTACTGGTAGTCCTCAACTTAAGACTGGTCGCTTTAGTGACTATTCAAAGTTACAACAGAACGTAAAAATAAAAAAATAAAAGAGCTACTTACAACCCAGATTCAAAGTCCCAATGGGGCCCAACTCTCCCATTTGCAGGCGTGCCCTTGGCCACTTTGCAACCAGCTCTCATCTATAGCCGTTTGCAGCATCCCGTGGTCATGTGACCACGATTTATAATTGGTTCCTTTGCAAGAGGAAGCAAGAAGCATTTATCTCTGTGTTCAGGGAAAAAGCTCTCCTTGCAGAGATAGAAGTGGAAAAATGGAAAATAGTAGAGTTCAAAGGAGCCTTGGGGGACTTCTAGTCGAACCCCTGACCAAGCAGAAAACCCTATACCATTTCAGACAAATGGTTGTCTAATCTCTCCTTTAAAACTTCCACTGTTGGCACACCCACAACATTTTAGAGGCAAGTTGTTTTACTGGTTAATTGTTCTCCTCATTAGCAAATTTCTCCTTAACTCTAGGTTGGATCTCTCCTTGATCGGTTTCCCTCTGTCGCTTCTTGTCTCGCCCTCAGGTGCCTTGGAGAATAGCTTGACTCCCTCTTCTTCGGGGCAGCCCCTCAAATATTAGAACACTGCTATCCTAATTCTAGACATACCCATTTCCCGAAACGGTTCTTTGTATGTTTTAGCCTCCGGACCAAATTTAAAAACCAGGCCGCACAATAATACCCCTAGGTCGCAGATTTTGTTCTTGAGACTTTGGAAAAAGTTCAGAGAAAAGAGCAACTAAGATGATTAAAGGCCTGGAAACTAAAACATACGAAGAACGGTTGGAGGATTTGGGTTCGGCTAGTCTCGAGAAGAGAAGGACCAGGGGAGACATGATAGCAATATCCCAGTATTTGAGGGACTGCCACAAAGAAGAGGGGGTCAAGTTGTTCTCCAAAGCTCCTGAAGGCTGGACAAGAAGCAATGGATGGAAACCAACCTTGGAGAGAAGCAACCTAGAATTAAGGAGAAATTTCCTAACAGTGAGGACAATCAAGCAGTGGAACTACTTGCCTCCAGAAGTTGTGGTTGCTCCAACACCGGAGGTTTTTAAGAAGAGATTGGATGACCATTTGTCTGGAATGGTATTGGCTCTCCTGCTTGACCACGGGGTTGGACTAGAAGACCTCCAAGGTCCCTTCCAACTCTATTTTGATTCAGACAATGAGTCCCCGTCGCCAGCGCCACATTTGCTTTAACAGACACTGCAATAAAGGTCTTAAAATCGAGCACAAATCCTATATTGATCCACTTAATGACCGGCATAAATTACGATCGTTGTTCCAGGCTCAGTTATGTTGCAACTGAAGGACTGCCTGTACAGCAGTGTTTTTCAAAACTTGGCAATGTTAAGATATCTGGATTCCAACTCCTCAAATTCCAGCATGGGAGTTGAAGCCCACGCATCTTAAAATTCGCCATGTTTGAAAAACCTCGCTCTCTAGCACGAAAAAATTTGGCCTTTTATCAGGTAAACACGATCTCCCCTCTAATATTTCCTGTTTTGTTTTGTTTTTCCCTTTCTTCCTTCCTTCCTTTGAGGAAAGGAAGCACGGGGAACAAATTCCAAAGGCGAGACCATCTATCTCTTCTTTGAACTCTGCCTAATCTGTTTGTGTCCCTTTTAAAAAAACAAAAACATTTGCAGCCCCAGAGCCCGGAAGTTTCTTTTTTTATCTTTCTGAGGAGAAATCGACTCTTCCCCCGCATGCATTACTTTATTATTTAAAAGGCTGTGTTCAAGGTCATTCTTTCTTCCAATTAAGCGGTTTTCCAAAGACCCAGGACTTATTTTTGAGATAAGAAAGAGGTTTTGTTTTGTTTTTAATTACAATTCCAGTGATATTCATGATAACGTTTCGTTGTGGCTGGCAAATATCCTGAGCTACAGGGCTAAAATTGCCTTAAAAATGGCACAACTCTGAATTTTGGAGAAACTCCCCATTATTTAAAGAACAATCAACCCAAGGAACAGACGTTGCCCTTGGAAATTGTGGGAGCGCCATCACTTGAGACTTTCAAGAAGAGATTGGACTGCCATCTGTCATAAATGGTGTAGGGTCTCCCACTTGGGTAGGGGGCTGGACTAGATGACCTACAAGGTCCCTTCCAACTCTGATTATCTGTTATCTATTACTTTGGCCCAAACGACAGGCAGTCCTCAACTTAACGGCGGCAATTGGGACCAGAATTTTCATTGCCGAGCAACGCCACTGTTAAATGACTCGGCCCTGATTTTACCACTGACATTGTTAAGTGAATCACACAGTCATTAAGGGAATCAGACCTTCCTTATTGACTTTGGTTGTCAGAAGCTGGCTGGGAAGGTCACCCAAAACCCCAAGACTGTGCAACCGTCATTAATACATACCGGTTGCCAAGTGACCAAATTTTGATCACATGACTGAGAACGTTGCGGTGGTTGTAAGACGTGGACTGGTTGTAAGTCTTTTTTTTTTAGTGCTTATGTTACTTTGAACAGTCACTGAAGAAATGTTGTAAGACTGAGGGCTGTTTGTAAGTAATTTGTGAGGGCTTTATGATCATCTAAGCAAGACCCTTCTTAACGGAGATTTGCTCCGTTTTATGTCCTTCCTTGCCATGGTTGTTAAAGTGAATCCGGCTTGCCCATTGACTTCGCTTGTCAGAAGGTTGCAAAGGTTGATCATGTGAACACACACACACACACACACACGGGACTCTGCCACTGTCATAAATATGAACCAGTTGCCAAGCGTCTGAATTTTCATCATGCAGATGCGGTAAGTGTGAATTTTGATCTTGCAGATGTGGTAAGTGTGAAAAACTGGTCATAAGTCACTTTTTTTCAGTGCCGTTGTAACTTTAGTCATTAAATGAATGTTTGTAAGTCGAGGACTACCCTGTATAATGGGCTCACTTAAAGACCGCTACATTCATTTAATGACCGTGTTATTTGCTTAACAGCTGCCATGAAAAGTTAACAATAATCAGGCACAGTCACGTGGTTGCCCTGCTTAAAGACATCCCCGACTTACAACCATAATAGCAATAGCCCTTAGATTATATACTGCTTCCCAGTGCTTTACAGCCCTCTCTAAGCAGTTCACAGAATCAGCCTCTTTTCCCCAACAATCTGGGTCCTCATTTTACCCACCTTGGAAGGACGGAAGCCTGGGTCAACTTTGAGCTGGTCAGGATCGAACTGCAAAATTTCAGGCAGCCGGCAGTCAGCAGAAGTAGCCTGCAGTACTGCACTTTCACCACTGCGCCACCGTGGCTCTAATTCCGGTTGTGAGTTCAGGGACCATCTGTAGATTTTGCCATACATCCCTCTTGTGTCTAACACGAGTTCCTCTCTTTTCAATCTCCCTTCCTGCCCATCTTCAGTCGATCTTAGGGGTGCAGTGCGAAGTCCAGAAACAGCTGAAGGCCTTCGTCACGTTGGAGAGCTTCGAACAGATCTACACATCGAGCATCGCCGGGTGCCAGGAAGTCCAGGAGAACCGCCATTTTGCCTCGGGAGACTCCATCATCGGCAAGGGGGTCAAGTTTGCCATGAAAGATGGCCGGGTGGCCACTGATATCATCAGTGCGGCGAACGAGGATGGGCGGCGAGTCGCCGCCATCCTCAACAATGCCTATTATCTGGAGAACTTGCACTTCACCGTCGACGGCACGGACACCCACTATTTTGTCAAGCCAGGGTCGTCAGAAAGCGACTTGTCCATCCTCGGCCTCAGCGGCGGGCGGCGGACCTTGGAGAATGGTGTGAACGTCACCGTCTCCCAAATCAACGCCGTGCTCAGCGGGAGGACTAGACGCTACACGGACATCTCGCTCCAGTTTGGAGCCCTGTGCCTCAACACCCGATACGGGACCACGTTGGACGAGGAGAAGACACGCGTCTTGGAACTGGCCAGGCAACGGGCCGTGGCCCACGCCTGGGCCCGGGAGCAACAGAGACTGCAGGACGGGGAGGAGGGTAGCCGCTCCTGGACAGAGGGGGAGAAGCAACAACTGCTGAACACGGGACTCGTTCAGGGGTACGACGGCTACTTCGTCATCTCCGCCGAACAATACCCAGAACTGTCCGACAGCGCAAACAATATCCATTTTATGCGACAGAGCGAGATGGGGAGAAGGTGACAGAGAGGGGATGATGCGTTAACTTCTTGCCAAAGACAGCTGCTTGAGACTGTGACGTCCTTGAGCCTTCTTTTTTCTTTCTTTCTTTTTCTTTTTTTCTAAAGAAAAAAGAAAAAAAAACAAACACACAAAGAACTTTTAACGGAAAACAGGCAAGGTGGCGGAAGAAAACGGTGGCACCATAGCTCAGGCAACATCCTTTACTTTAGATTTAATTTTTAATTTTAATATTTTTTTAAAGTGGCTTTCTCACCTTTGGCTGTTTTTCCATCCTTCCCCTCCCCTTTTCTCTGCTCCTATCCTGCCTTCTCTTTTTGGAAGTGTCATTTCGCCATTGTGCGCGAGCCCTTTGTGCAAAAATGCTGGAAGGTTGGGGAAGGCGTCGGTTTAAACCTCCTGATTTCTGTTCGTTGGGTTTCTTTTTTTTGTTTTAATGGGGTGGGAAAAAAAGAAGAGAAAAAAAGAGCCTCTGTATTAGGTTTGGGTTAACCTTTCCTAGTGGGGTTGGAGAAAAAAAAATATAGATATATATATATATATATAAGAGGATTTATGAGGAACGAAAACAGGAAGAAGGAGGCATCACGGAGAAGAAAAATCCACCATTTCCCGCAAACCTTATGCGAAGAAACGAAGCGGGAGGTTTACACACCTCTCCAGCTTTGAAATGGCCCTTCAAACATTTTGGGAGCCTCCAAACAAAGAACTTTCCATTTTTTTAAACATTTCTTTCTGGATAACCCTGCTGCTTCGGGTTATTTCCCGCCGGAGGAGGCCAGACGGCTCCCTCTTCAGACTTGTGAGCTCAATCCTTTCTCTTTTTTAAAATTTTTATTTTGTAAAAGGGTCTTTTTTTTTTTACTACAACAGACTATTTTGTTCACCAGTTTGTTTTCTGCTGTTGCGTGACAAGAGGACGTGTCTGGTTTTTTTTTGTCATTCGGGAAAAAAAAAAATCCCATAGCAGCTAATCGGAGCGGGGTTGGAAAAGGAAAGGAGAAGAAGAAGAAGAAAAAAAAGGAAAAAAATGATACTATTGCTGCACATACTGTTAGATGGGAACCACCAATGATGTATATTTGTCAACAGTAAACCCTCCTTAAATATATAGTATTTCTGTATACCAAGTGAAGCGTGTTTAACTTTTGAGGATGCCATCTCTTCTCCGACCGTGGGGGTTTTTGTCTAGAGTTAGGGCCATCCTTCATGATGAAATCTCAGTTTCTCCTAATATATATATATACAGTGGGTATATATATATTTTTCAGAGCCAGTTTAGATACTGATGTGAGAGATACAGCAAGCGCCTCCTATTTGATTTGACATTTTTAATTTTTATTTTAATGAAGCGTTTCAGTCGATAAAAGAGATGCTTCCTTGTTTCTCCACGGGCCACTTCTACCAAAATGGTCTTCGCCGGCGCTGGGATGGTTTTTAAGAAAGTTAGGGTTGGTAGCAGTAAGGAAATAAGACGACTTGTCGAACAGTCTCCAACCTGACACCATGCTAACATCAAACCAAAATATTTGGCTTGGAGGAATTTGATAGCTCTGTCCAGTCCTACCTACGTTGATTTTTCAACTACACAAACCAGATTCTCTACTTCCAACTACCAAAATCAAATTCTTTATGCTTGCAAGGGTCTGTGACAATTTGCCGTAGTCAACTCGCCACGGGACAATTTGCCATGGCCAGTTCGCCACAGGACAACTCACTGCAGGACAAGAGTTGTTCTGACCCGGGCTTCCCAAAATCACAGAGCAGACTCCTCGTCCCGACAAAACTCCTTTTTATTAGGCTGTTGTGAATTCCTATCATTCACATCCAGCAAAGTCCCGGCAAACAGTCTTTTCAAGAGGGATTTACAACCGCAGACCTTATCAGGCTGGAGAGTTGTCAGGCCGATAGCTTCCAAACGCCACACTGTAGCAGAAAATACTTGGCAAAGAGTCTCCACCCAACAAATCTTCACCCTAATTAAACGAACTAATTGTCTCCTGCAAACACCACTCCCCTTTTGCTCCTCTTTATTCTCTATTGGAGGGGCCATTCACCATCCACCTGTGCCTTTAATCCCAAGTCGACCCTTGTTCCTTAACTGCTCCCTTCTTCTGGCAGCTCTGTGCATACGCACACTGGGAACAGGCTCCGGCTGTTCTTCTGCCCCACTGATCTCCAACTCCGAAGGCAGCTAATAACTGTCAGACTGCCCTGGCGCCATCTCTGCCTCCGACGCAGAGCCCTCGTCAGAGCCTTCCCCAAACTCCAGGACTGACCCACGTTCCTCCCCAACCTCCTCACTGTCTAATTCTGCCGCCAGCTCTGCTGGCCGCTGGCCAGCCACAACACCTAACATTAAAGAAAGGTGGAATAGAATCATTAAAGAAAGGATGCAAATGAAGAGACTGGATGAAATGTGAATGGCAGAAATTAAAATATCTTTTTAAAGTTATTTTAAATAATTAAATAGAATTGTTAAATTGTCACGCGGCGAATCGGCTGTGATGAGTTGGCCATGGCAAGTTGCCCCGTTCTGCACCTACAATTTGGAGGAAGTCATTTCTTGATTTAATATCATCTTATAAAAAGTTCCAAAGGTGGGGGTTTTCCTCCCAAGAGGCAATTAGACTTTCTTGGGAGTTGGTTATTTTTTTCCTTTAAAAAAGTTTTGCTTCTCATCCAAAAAACTTCTTCAGTTCTTCTTCAGAAGAAATTTCCCGGTTGTCCCAAAGATGCTTTTTTTCCCAGGGTCAACTGGATTTTCTCCGTTTCCTCAAAAATGAAGAAGCTTCTCGGATGAGAAGCGGAAACATTTTCAAAAAAAACCAAAAACAAAACAAAGAAGTCTAGTTGCCTAATTGAAAAAGCACCTTTTCAACCAGGACCTTGGATGATTGAAAATCTCCATCGACATCTTGCAAAAACAGGCATAAATCTAGAACATTAGGAACCAAGAACATCTTAGCTAGAGAAGGACAGGAGCGTGAGTCCAGCTGCATTCTGTCCCATAATTTCAAAACTGTGGCGGCTTTGGCAGGTAGTCCTCAACTTATGGCCACAGTTGAGCCCAAAATCTATTTTTGCTGAGAGAGACGTGACTTTTGCCCCATTTTACGACCTTTTCTCACCACGTTTGTTCAACGAATCACTGCAGTTGTTAAATTAGCAACACCGCCATTAAGTGAATCTGGCTTGCCCCATTGACTTTGCTTGTCAGAAGGTTGCAAAAGGGGATCACGTGACCCCCTCCGGAACACTGCAACAGTCGTAAATGTGAGTCAGTTGTCAAACATTTGAATGTAAATCTCATGATCACACAGGGCTGATGCAATGTCCCTAAAGTGTGAAAAATGGTCATAAGCGGGTGGGATTCTACCAGTTCTCACCTATTCGCTAGAACCGGTTGTTAACATTCTAAGAGAGAACCGGTTGTTAGAAGAAATTACTGGGCTAATCCTGTAAGGAAGGCAGGAAGGAAACATTCTGGTGTTGCTTACAGAAACTGCCTCTCCGTTAACCCTTATTACATTCTTGGCAGGACTGGATTTCCTGTCTCAGGAACTTCTCTGGAGTTTTTTTTTTTACCCTCCTTTGCTGGTACTTTGCTTGTGTGGAGAGACCATTCAAAGTTACAATGGCACTGAAAAAAGTGACTGATGACCCTTTTTCACACTTACGACTGTTGCAGCATCCCCACAGTCATGAGAGGCCAGGCGAGGAGATGCGTGCCTCGATGTGAGTGATATTGAGATGGCCACACCCAGCCCATAACAGGACCACCAAGCCATGCCCACAGAACCGGTTGTTAAAAAATTTGAATCCCACCCCTGGTCATCAGTCACTTTTTTCAGTGCCGTTGTAACTTCGAGCTGTTGCAGGTCGAGGACTGCCTGTATGTACTGCCTCTTTGCAAAGAAATCTATTCCCCGGGACTGCCGGAAATAGTGTTAACCCAGATGTGCCTGGATCAGTTGCTTTTGTGTATAAATTATTTTCACCCAACAGATGAGATTTTCCAAAGGCTTCGATTTGGTGGAGATAGGGCTAACATCTGGAAATGAGCGGCAGTGGGTGAGCTGAAGGGCAAACATGACAGATGTGTTAAGCAGATCCTATCCTTTTTTTTTTTCCATTTCAACTTCATATTTTTACATCGTTTTTCACACATAACCTCCCCCCCCGCCCCGGACACTTAAAGCTTTCTGAATAGAACCGTGAGATTTCATATCATGAGATTAAAATCTATCCGGAGCTGCTTTCTATTTTTAAAAAATGCTGATTTCTTGATAGAGGTATCAAGGTAAACTGAATTTATAAATGAAAATTCATGTTCTTCCCGCACTAAAGGAAGATCTTATCCATCCAGGTTTTGGGCCTGAGTCCAAGAAAATTTGTGTTTTGAGTACGGCAAGAAGAAAGGTTACCCTGAGATAGCCTTTTTTATTAGTTTTTCTTGAAGCCAAAGCCATGCCATCACGGTGTGACTTCTTGTTCTCCCTTCTAAAAATGACATTTAACCCGTCTATAGGAAGCCAGAGTGTTTGATGATTGTTTCCGAATAGCTTGTTTCCTTATACATTTAACGTTTTCAACCCTAGGTTGGGAAAACGGAGAATTAAAAGGTTGGGAAAACGGAGAATTAAAATCCAAAGCAGCAGGAGCGACCTCAAGTTGTGTTAATGGTTATGATGCTTGATTTTATCAGATGAAGATGGTGACTGCAGGATAAGCATGCGACAAAATATGAGCGTTATGATCCAAATAAATAAATAAATAGGTGATGGGAAACACAACGTTCCATGAAGACTAAGCTAGAACTTTTCAAGAGCCATTGAATTAAAACTCTGTTGGGTTTTTGAGCAGCCCATGGTTGTTGTTTTTTGACTTAGTTCTTCACGGACAATCAGAACAATTCAGTAAAATTTGGGGAACTGATAGCAAAGGATTTCATCCTGTTCAACTAAGACCTCCCAAATATATGTGAGCATCTGTCTAGTCAGAGCCTGGGACAATTTTCTTGGTGTTTCTTGCCAAACTTGGCAA